TATAATAATACATTTTCATAATCATTATTTCATAATCAACATTATTGCCCACTGAATATCATTGCATTAGAGTTGATAGCCCGTGTGTTTGTGTTGTTCAGGTCTATGGCAGCTCCTGCGCCTCCTTCTGCTCGTATGGTCAACCTGTGCTCAGCCTCGCAGACCATCATCGCTCCCAACCCCATGCTGCAGGGGGCGCTGCTCATGCAGCAGATGCAGGGTAAACTCATGCGTCCTAATCTGTGACCCTGCAGCACAAAAGCAGTCTTAAGTCGCTGGGGTATATTTGTAGCAATAGCCAACAATACATTGTATGGGTCAAAATTATCCATTTTTCTTTTATGCCAAAAATCATTAGGATATTAAGTAAAGATCATGTTCCATGAAGATATTTTGTAAATTTCCTACCGTAAATATATCAAAACTTAATGTTTGATTAGTAATATGCATTGCTAAGAACTTCATTTGGACAACTTTAAAGATGATTTTCTCAATATTTAGATTTGTTTGCACCCTCAGATTCCAGATTTTCAAATATTGTCCGATCCTAACAAACCATACATCAATGGAAAGATTATTTATTCAGCTTTCAGATGATGCATACATCTCAGTTTCGAAAAATTGACCCTTATGACTGCTTTTGTGGTGCAGGGTCACATTTATGCTCTTGATATATTATAGTTTTTGTTTATTTTGAATTAGATTAAATTTTTATTTTATGTTTTTACTTTAATTGTAGTTAAAGTTTTAGTAACTCAGGGCTCCAGACTCATTTTTCCCACTGGTCACTCTTTTGCGACTAACTTTGCACATGATTTGGTCGCATTATTATTATCATTATTTTTTTGCTACATCATGGGATTAATCAATGCATGCTGATGAACTTATCATAGCTTATAGTTATCTGAAAACGAAAGTGGTTAACACTCAGCCCGTAGTTTTTCATCAGTATTATCTGTGATTTGTATTTAGTGAACGGGAGTTCCTCTTTTGCTGTGTTATAAGCCGGGCTTCGGATGCTTTCGCTTCGAATTCGTGATCTTGTCACGTTTTACGAGAAAAGATAATTGTCTGTTACATGCATCTACACACCTTTAACTTTTTAAGACTAAAACAAAATATGGTTTCTTTGTTATTCTTAATTAAAGAGCACAACAACAATAAAACAGTAAGATACAATGAGCTTACAAAGCGTTAATTAACAAAAACGAATAACATGAGGCATGGCATACACCATATAGCGACTAATAAAGTTTAGCAAACACTGAGGAATCAAATGAATAAAAGAGAGGCTATATAGCGTAACGTGAGGTAAACAGCAAAGATAACAAGCTTTTCAAAAAGAAAAGTAAAACTAAACTTGCTGTCGGTGACAGTGCTTGCATGTATTATTCCCACAAGAACACCAACATGTTCACCTTTGGTTTAAGAAGCGGTCTTTTACTTTACTTCAGCGTGAAACCCATCCATCGTTTCCTCAGTATTCGCGTCAGTCTGGAGCCCTGTAACTTTGTTAGGTGTTTTTGTCAGTGTTTATTTATTAGTCTTAGTTATTTTAGTACTTCAAGTTAAAATAAAAGGAGAAATGTTAACTTGGCAACCTGCTGAAATAAAAAAATTAGTAATAAAACGTTTGCAATTCTTTTAATTTTAGTTAACTGTAATAGCTCTGATATTGACAAAACAAGTTTCCTTGAGTTTTTTTTTCTTTTCTTATCAAGGAGCACTCTCTCGATAACTTTATATTAATTACATAGATGGACTAAATATTTAGTATTATGTTATCAAGGAAATATTATTGGTTTCACCTCAAAATCCAAAGAGAAAAAGTATTTTGAAGCTGCTTTTTAGGACCATTTATTCATTTAGAGACAATTACACATTAATAATGCATAAAATAAATGTAAAATATTCCCTTAAAATGCTCATTTAATTAATTAATTAATATTAAAGACAATTGCACATTAATAATGCATAAAATCAATGTAAAATGTTCCCTTAAAATGCTCATTTAATTAATTAATTAATATTAAAGACAATTGCACATTAATAATGCATAAAATCAATGTAAAATGTTCCCTTAAAATGCTCATTTAATTAATTAATTAATATTAAAGACAATTGCACATTAATAATGCATAAAATCAATGTAAAATGTTCCCTTAAAATGCTCATTTAATTAATTAATTAATATTAAAGACAATTGCACATTAATAATGCATAAAATCAATGTAAAATGTTCCCTTAAAATGCTCATTTAATTAATTAATTAATATTAAAGACAATTGCACATTAATAATGCATAAAATCAATGTAAAATGTTCCCTTAAAATGCTCATTTAATTAATTAATTAATATTAAAGACAATTGCACATTAATAATGCATAAAATCAATGTAAAATGTTCCCTTAAAATGCTCATTTAATTAATTAAAGAGAATTCCACTTTAAAGGGGTACAAAATCAAGACTTTGTAAAAGAGCATAATAGGACCCCTTTAAAAATGCATAAAATCAATGCAAAATGTTCCAGATTTAGCCAGTGAAGTTATTTTTAATCTGTAATATTTCTGCAAGTCATTCAGGCATTTTACGTTTGAATTTATTTGCAATTCCCGTTATTCTTTGTGGTGATTTTTTCCCAAATATGAAACATACGTATGACTTCAGAGGCAGAGAAGTGCTCTGCAGTAGGCTTGAGCTGGATGTGTCTCACCCGTGCTGTGTTGTGTTGTGTTCTCCTCTCCTGGCTCTGTGACCCTGGTGTGTTAATGTGACCTGTGTGCTGCTGGTTTGGCTGCGGTCTGCAGCGGGTGGCATGCGTGGCTTTGCGATGAGTGGGCAACAGTTTCCTCAGTTCTTCACTGCGGGCTCCAGAGCGTCTCTGCTGGGTCCAATGCCGATGGGAGTCGCCATTAAAACCCCACACATGGGATTCCCGCGGCACTTCACGCCACACACGCGCTATTTCACCAGTGTGAGTGTGTATTAAACTTTGGCACATAGATATGGTTTTTTTTTTGTACATTTGAATTTCTTTCTGCCATACACTGCTGTTTGGGATCAGTAAGATTTGTAAAGAAGTCTCTTCTGCTCATCAAGGCTGCATTTATTTGACCAGAAATACAGTAAAAATTGTGTAATATTATTGCAATTTAAAATACTGTTTTTTTTATTTTAATATACTTTAAACTGTAATTTATTTCTGTGATCAAAGTTGTATTTTCAGCATCATTACTCCAGTCTTCAGTGTCACATGATCTTCAGAAATCATTCTAATATGCTGATTTATTATCAGTGTTGCTTAATATTTATTTGGAACCTGTGATACTTTTTTCAGGATTGTTTGATGAATAAAACGTTAAAAAGAAGAGCATGTATTTAATTACTTTTGTAACAATATACACTACTGGTCAAAAGATTGGAGGCAATATATATATATTTATATTTTAATTTTTAATTTTTTTTTAAAGAAATTAATTATTTTATTCAGCAAGGATGTGTTAAATTGATAAAAAGTGATGATAAAGATTTGCGTTGTTAGAAAAAGATTTCTATTTTAAGTAAACACTATTCTTTTTTAACTTTATTCATCAAATAGTCCTGAAAAAAGTATCACAGATTCCAAAAAAAAATATGAATCAGCAAAACTGTTTCCAGCACTGATAATAAATCAGCATATTAGAATGATTTCTGAAGGATCATGTGACACTGAAGACTGGAGTAATGATGCTGAAAATACAGCTTTTATCACAGAAATAAATTACAGTTTAAAGTATATTAAAATAGAAAACGAGTATTTTAAATTGCAATAATATTTCACAATTTTTACTGTATTTTTTATCAAATAAATGCAGCCTTGATGAGCAGAAGAGACTACTTTAGAACAACACATTTAAAATCTCACTGATCCCAAACAGCAGTGTACATGAATCACTTTTAAACAGATAAATAATCTATTGTGGTGTATATTATTTTGTAAATCTGTGACTCTCTGGCTAACTGACCACACACAGGAGTTTCAGGCTCGTCAGCCGGACAGAAAGAGGGAAAACGAGCAGAAATCTGCGGGCAGCAGCGACAGCCAATCAGAAGCCAGGAGCAGCAGAGGTATTTAGAGGTCACATGTCTCTGTCAAACAGTTCCGCATAAACCAAATATATGCAGAAATCATGTAAACGTCACAAAAGTCGAATGTTTTCAATAATTCTACAAAACACCTGTTTCCTGAAGAATAACAATAACTTTGTGAAAAGGGCGGGAAACCTTTCGATTATCCGACCGATTATCGGCACCGATATTGAGCTTTTTTTATGGTTATCGGTCATTTTCAAAACCGATTTGCTGATAAAATCATTTAAAAGCATTAAAAGCACATTTTTGTCAGAACCCTTGTTATTCTTAATTTTGACATTAATTTTCATTTTTACACCAGACATATATACACTACCGTTCAAAAGTTTGGGATCAGAACGATTTTTATTCTTTCTTTTTTTGAAAGAAATTAAAACTTTTATTCAGCGAGGATATGTTAAATTGTTAAGAAGTGATAGCAAAGATTTATATCGTTAGAAAAGATTTCTATTTTGAATAAATGCTGTTCTTTTAAACTTTTTATTCATCAAAGAATCCTGAAAAAAGTATCACAGTTTCCAACAAAATATGAAGCAGCACAACATTGATAATTCTAATAATAAATCAGCATATTAGAATGATTTCTGAAGATCATGTGACACTTTATACTGGAGTAATGATGATGGAAATACAGCTTTGCATCACAGAAATCAATTATATTTTAAAGGATATTAAAATAGAATTAATTGAAACTGAATGTTCAAAATATCGGTTATCGGTCTGGAATAATCGGTATCAGTATCGGCCCTGAAACACATATCGGTCGACCCCTAACACGTATGACATTATTTTATGTCTAATCCTGATGTCAAGGTTAGACTTGTGTCCAGTGACAGAAGAAAATGCAAATGTGACCCAGGTGTTTTCTGCTTCTACTGCATCCAAACAGCCACAGAAAATCACAGACTTTGAGAAAAAGATTGTTTATACTCTTCTATTTATGTAAAGTTCTTTGACATTCAATGGTATTTGAACGCATTTCCAGTCTTCTGCAACTTGCAAGTTAAGTGATACATTTTGAAAACTTATTTTTGTCATTGAAATCGAAACGTTTGTTATTTGGATAAATGCATTAGAGCTGATGCATATAAAAATATAATCTTAATTCTTATTTTACGAAAAAAGTGTATGTGATGGAAAATATTTATTGCTGTTTTTGAGCTCGGCATTAGATAATATTAGGCCTTTGTTGCAAATCAGCAGAATCTTTTCTCAAGATGCAAGGCTGTGTAATGCATACATAATCATACAATCCACATACACCCGAAAACAATCAAAGTGCATAAGAGTGCACAAAATATGCAATATAAAATACAAAATGAATTGAATTTAAACATGTGGATAAGCTCAAAGTGCAAATGTAACATTTCAGCACTATTTAACAGAACAGTAATTGAAGAGACGCAATACAATATTTCAAGCTATTATAATCTGTCCTTTAAGACTAGAATGATTGTTTTTGAAAGTCTGTGATGTGTTTTGATGTGAAGTGCATGAATATGCATTGAGTAAATGAATGCAGAACACCAGTTTTTAATATGCATGAGTCATATGGATTAATCAATAAGTTGATTCCCCAAAAAACACTATAAATCTATCAAGTCATATGATTTAAGTTCTTATGCATTAAGGGCATGAAAATGCAACGCATAAATGAATGCATAACATCAAATTTGAGCAATCTTGACTGTGCATGAGTCATATGAATTAATTAATAGACTGATTTCCAAAAAGCAACATAAATGTGTCATTAAGTCTTTTGATTTTTGGTTTTATGAATGGAACAATACAAGTCGTTTTGCATTAAGTGCATGAAAATGCATTGCATTAATGAATACAGAACACCCATTTTTAATATGCATGAGTCATATGGATTAATTTATAAGCTGATTCCCAAAACACACCACAAATGCATCATTAAATCATGACAGAAACAAACTGTCAAATTTAAGTCGTTATGCATGAAAATGCATTGCATAAATGAATAAAATGCAAAGTGTGCAGGCATCACATTGGTTAATTTGCAAAAAACACTAGAAATCTATCAAGTCATATGATTTGATGTTTTAACAAACTGAAATTGAATTAATTATGCATTAAGTGCATGAAAATGCATTGCACAATTGAATGCATAACATCAAATTTGAATATGCATACAGAGTCATACAGATTAATTAATAGATTGATTCCCAAAAAAACACAGTACAATATTTCAAGCTATTATAATCTATCCTTTAAGACTAGAATGATTGTTTTTGAAAGTCTGTGATTTGTGTTTTGCTGTGAACAGCAGATGAAGCGTCCGCTGCAGTCGATCCGGGATGTCAGGAGTCTTCAGAGCAGCCCGATGAACCAGCGGCCAAAAAACACAAAACACAAGAGTCAGTGACTTTCCATTTGTCTGTCTATGTCAGATTGATCTGTATGCTGCGAGTGTGTTTAAATGCGGTTTGTGTGTTTGTGCAGGTCAGAAGAGCCTGTGGAGACAGAATCAGCTCAAAGCGATGAATATAAGAGCCCGGATCCTGCAGGTAGGGAGGGTTTGAGGGAATATTCTCGGGGTTTTACTAAATAATTTGTCCCTCACTTTGTAAAAAAATTTTTAAAATGCAGTAATGCCATTACAATGGAGGAAGATTAAAACTGGAGGCTTTAAAAGCAGAAATGTAAAGCTGGTGTTTCTTTGTTAAGGCACATCAATTTTAACACTAATTCTTCAGTAAAAATGTTATTTGACCTGAAAAATGGTCCTTAGCAGGTATGACAGCGTTGTTTTAGTATTTTTTATTTTTTTTTATATATATATATTTTACATTTTCATGTTAAAGTTATTTTATTATATTTATTTTATTTTATTTCAAGTAACGGAAATGTTTTTCTTATGGTTTTTAACTATAATATAATATATAAATATACATATATAATATATATAAAATGTAACATTTTAATTTAGCCTGCATTTGATCAGAAATACAGAAAAAGCAGTAATATTGTGAAATATTTTTACTATTTAAAATAACTGTTTTCTGTGTGAATATATATTAAACTGTAATGTATTTCTGTGATCAAAGCTGTATTTTCAGCATCATTACTCCAGTCATATGGATTAATCAATAAGTTGATTCCCCAAAAAACACTATAAATCTATCAAGTCATATGATTTAAGTTCTTATGCATTAAGGGCATGAAAATGCAACGCATAAATGAATGCATAACATCAAATTTGAGCAATCTTGACTGTGCATGAGTCATATGAATTAATTAATAGACTGATTTCCAAAAAGCAACATAAATGTGTCATTAAGTCATTTGATTTTTGGTTTTATGAATGGAACAATACAAGTCGTTTTGCATTAAGTGCATGAAAATGCATTGCATTAATGAATACAGAACACCCATTTTTAATATGCATGAGTCATATGGATTAATTTATAAGCTGATTCCCAAAACACACCACAAATGCATCATTAAATCATGACAGAAACAAACTGTCAAATTTAAGTCGTTATGCATGAAAATGCATTGCATAAATGAATAAAATGCAAAGTGTGCAGGCATCACATTGGTTAATTTGCAAAAAACACTAGAAATCTATCAAGTCATATGATTTGATGTTTTAACAAACTGAAATTGAATTAATTATGCATTAAGTGCATGAAAATGCATTGCACAATTGAATGCATAACATCAAATTTGAATATGCATACAGAGTCATACAGATTAATTAATAGATTGATTCCCAAAAAAACACAGTACAATATTTCAAGCTATTATAATCTATCCTTTAAGACTAGAATGATTGTTTTTGAAAGTCTGTGATGTGTTTTGATGTGAAGTGCATGAATATGCATTGAGTAAATGAATGCAGAACACCAGTTTTTAATATGCATGAGTCATATGGATTAATCAATAAGTTGATTCCCCAAAAAACACTATAAATCTATCAAGTCATATGATTTAAGTTCTTATGCATTAAGGGCATGAAAATGCAACGCATAAATGAATGCATAACATCAAATTTGAGCAATCTTGACTGTGCATGAGTCATATGAATTAATTAATAGACTGATTTCCAAAAAGCAACATAAATGTGTCATTAAGTCATTTGATTTTTGGTTTTATGAATGGAACAATACAAGTCGTTTTGCATTAAGTGCATGAAAATGCATTGCATTAATGAATACAGAACACCCATTTTTAATATGCATGAGTCATATGGATTAATTTATAAGCTGATTCCCAAAACACACCACAAATGCATCATTAAATCATGACAGAAACAAACTGTCAAATTTAAGTCGTTATGCATGAAAATGCATTGCATAAATGAATAAAATGCAAAGTGTGCAGGCATCACATTGGTTAATTTGCAAAAAACACTAGAAATCTATCAAGTCATATGATTTGATGTTTTAACAAACTGAAATTGAATTAATTATGCATTAAGTGCATGAAAATGCATTGCACAATTGAATGCATAACATCAAATTTGAATATGCATACAGAGTCATACAGATTAATTAATAGATTGATTCCCAAAAAAACACAGTACAATATTTCAAGCTATTATAATCTATCCTTTAAGACTAGAATGATTGTTTTTGAAAGTCTGTGATGTGTTTTGATGTGAAGTGCATGAATATGCATTGAGTAAATGAATGCAGAACACCAGTTTTTAATATGCATGAGTCATATGGATTAATCAATAAGTTGATTCCCCAAAAAACACTATAAATCTATCAAGTCATATGATTTAAGTTCTTATGCATTAAGGGCATGAAAATGCAACGCATAAATGAATGCATAACATCAAATTTGAGCAATCTTGACTGTGCATGAGTCATATGAATTAATTAATAGACTGATTTCCAAAAAGCAACATAAATGTGTCATTAAGTCTTTTGATTTTTGGTTTTATGAATGGAACAATACAAGTCGTTTTGCATTAAGTGCATGAAAATGCATTGCATTAATGAATACAGAACACCCATTTTTAATATGCATGAGTCATATGGATTAATTTATAAGCTGATTCCCAAAACACACCACAAATGCATCATTAAATCATGACAGAAACAAACTGTCAAATTTAAGTCGTTATGCATGAAAATGCATTGCATAAATGAATAAAATGCAAAGTGTGCAGGCATCACATTGGTTAATTTGCAAAAAACACTAGAAATCTATCAAGTCATATGATTTGATGTTTTAACAAACTGAAATTGAATTAATTATGCATTAAGTGCATGAAAATGCATTGCACAATTGAATGCATAACATCAAATTTGAATATGCATACAGAGTCATACAGATTAATTAATAGATTGATTCCCAAAAAAACACAGTACAATATTTCAAGCTATTATAATCTATCCTTTAAGACTAGAATGATTGTTTTTGAAAGTCTGTGATTTGTGTTTTGCTGTGAACAGCAGATGAAGCGTCCGCTGCAGTCGATCCGGGATGTCAGGAGTCTTCAGAGCAGCCCGATGAACCAGCGGCCAAAAAACACAAAACACAAGAGTCAGTGACTTTCCATTTGTCTGTCTATGTCAGATTGATCTGTATGCTGCGAGTGTGTTTAAATGCGGTTTGTGTGTTTGTGCAGGTCAGAAGAGCCTGTGGAGACAGAATCAGCTCAAAGCGATGAATATAAGAGCCCGGATCCTGCAGGTAGGGAGGGTTTGAGGGAATATTCTCGGGGTTTTACTAAATAATTTGTCCCTCACTTTGTAAAAAAATTTTTAAAATGCAGTAATGCCATTACAATGGAGGAAGATTAAAACTGGAGGCTTTAAAAGCAGAAATGTAAAGCTGGTGTTTCTTTGTTAAGGCACATCAATTTTAACACTAATTCTTCAGTAAAAATGTTATTTGACCTGAAAAATGGTCCTTAGCAGGTATGACAGCGTTGTTTTAGTATTTTTTATTTTTTTTTATATATATATATTTTACATTTTCATGTTAAAGTTATTTTATTATATTTATTTTATTTTATTTCAAGTAACGGAAATGTTTTTCTTATGGTTTTTAACTATAATATAATATATAAATATACATATATAAAAAATGTAACATGTAACATTTTAATTTAGCCTGCATTTGATCAGAAATACAGAAAAAGCAGTAATATTGTTTTTACTATTTACTATTTAAAATAACTGTTTTCTGTGTGAATATATATTAAACTGTAATGTTCAAAGCTGAATTTTCAGCATCATTACTCCAGTCTTCAGTGTCACATGATCCTTCAGAAATCATTCTAATAATGATTTGCTGCTCAAAAAACATTTATTATTATTATGTTGAAAACAGAGTAGATTTTTTTTCAGGTTCTTTCATGAATAGAAAGTTCAGAAGAACAGCATTTATCTGAAATAGAAGTCTTTTGTAACATTATTAATGTCTTTATCATCACTTTTGATCAATTTAAAGCATCCTTGCTAAATAAAACTATTAATTTCTATATTTTTTTCCACAAAAAATGACACTGACTCGAAGTTTTTAAATTTATTTCTGATAAATGCTGATCTTTGGATCTTTCTATTCATCAAAGAATCCTGAAAAAAATTTACTCAACTGTTTTAAATATTAATAATAATAATCAGAAATGTTTCTTGCATATTAGCATGATTTCTGAAGATCATGTGACACTGAAGACTGGAGTAATGATGCTGAAAATACAGCTGCACATCACAGGAATAAATTAGTTTAACAGAGATTCACATAGAAAACAGCTGTTTTAAATAGTAAAAATATTTCACAATTTTACTGCTTTTTTTGTATTTTGGTGAGCAGAAGAGAATTCTCTAAAAAACATTAAAAATCTTACTGTTCAAAAACTTTTGACTGGTAGAGTGTATGTATATATATATATATAACTGTGTAATAATATCATGCTCTGATTGGCTGTGATCGTCGGCCCGTCTCTGGAAACCATGTTTTGCTTTGAGGTGTAAATGCTTTTCTAGATGGATGAGCGTGTGGTTGTGTGTGATTAATGAGAGTGGACTCACTCCTGTGTTTCAGAGCTCACTCTGCAGGAGGACGAACCGCTGGCCGCTGAAGCAGACGAACCGAGTCAAGCGGCCGAGGTTTGTGCCATCTGTATGATCCACATGATCAGAGACATGGGTGAAGTAATCCCAGGACGGACTCGAGCTGTGTCTACTCAAGAAGCACTTGAGTTCAAATGCGTCTTGTTTGTTGATCTTCAGCAGGTTGAAAGCACTGAAGCTCCAGATGAAGGCATCAGAGAGGGTCCAGACGCCGCCGCCGCAGGCTCTGATTCGGCCTCGGAGATCAAGGAGACCGCAGACACTCCTGAGGAGCTCGGAGACGCAGCGGCAGAGACCTCCAACAAGTTCTTCTGCTATATTTGCAACATCACTTGCCATAACCAGCAAGTGTGTTCCTCTGAAATTGCTCGGCTTTAATTGTTTGCATGAGCTGATATATGTGACCCTGGAGCACAAAACCAGTCATAAGGGTCAATTTTTTGGCCACATCATCTGAAAGCTGAATAAATATCTTTCCATTGATGTATGGTTTGTTAGGATAGGACAATATTTGGCTGAGATACAACTATTTGAAAATCTGGAATCTGAGGGTGCAAACAAATCTAAATATTGAGAAAATCATCTTTAAAGTTGTTCAAATGAAGTTCTTAGCAATGCATATTACTAATCAAAAATTAAGTTTTGATATATTTACGGTAGGAAATTTACAAAATATCTTAATGGAACATGATCTTTACTTGATATCCTAATGATTTTTGCCATAAAAGAAAAATCTATAATTTTGACCCATACAATGTATTGTTGGCTATTGCTACAAATATACCCCAGCGACTTAAGACTGCTTTTGTGCTGCAGGGTCACATATTAGCAGCATAACTGGTGTGAGAGTTTTGCACGCAAATGCACTCATTGGCTAATCTTGCAGTCTTGACTAGTGCTTTTGTTCCTCTTGTGCATAAATGTAAAGTTGAAATCTTGCGTGTGCAGAGTTTCCAGAGCCATATGAACGGACTGACGCACCAGCAGAAGATGATGGAGATCCAGCACATGAGCAACGCGTGTCTCGTCACGCTGCTGCCGCGAGTCCAGGAGTCCCTGCAAGGAGCTCGCAGAGACGGGTCAGAGTTTCTGAGGCATTTATGCTTCACTAGCTTAAGGGAATCAGGCCATCCGAGTTTGTTTCTTCGTCAGATTTGGAGAAATGTAGCATTGCATCACTTGCTCACTGCAAGTGAATGGGTGCCGTCAGAACTAGAGCTGATAAAAACATCACAATAATCCACAGCACTCCAGTCCATCAGTTAACATCTGGAGAAGACAAAAGCTGAAACAAATCCAGTATGAAGACGTTTTTAACTCGTATACGAGTCTATAATCCATAATAACGTGAGAAAGTGTTCTGGTCTGAATCAGGAGAGAAATCTGCACAGATCAAGCAGCCTTTAAACAGCTCTAAACAAATATGTGAGAGACAACAGCAGATGCACTTTATCACTTCTGGAAGCGTTATTATGGATTATGGACTCATATTTTAGACATTAAAAATGTCTTAATGCTGGATTTGTTTCAGCTTTTGTCTTCTCCAGATGTTAACTGATGGACTGGAGTGCTGTGGATTTCTTGTGGATTATTGTGATGTTTTTAGCAGCTGTTTGGACTCTCATTCTGACGGCACC